AGTATTTTAATAAAATTTTTATCATTAAAAATACCATTTAATATTTAGAAGAAATCTTGAATTATGAAGTATCGAAAAACATATATTCGTGTTCTAATAAGCAGCTTATTTATATTAAAATTAAAGTAAAAACGCAAATCTTAGCTGTAGTACTTTCAATTCATTCTAGCTCAAGTTTTATGAGCAACAAAATAATTTAATAGCGCAAAAGGTAATGTAGGCCAGGCAACTTGATATAACTATACATTCATTCTCTTACAAAAGGCCGCCAAATTAAACCTGCATAATATTCGTACACGTACTTCGCCTTTATGCGATACGTGCCCGATGTTATAAATTAGTTTCATAAAAAGCGAACATTATGAAGTATAACGCTAAAGGTCTAATATTACTATTAATACAATTTCTTTCGAAGAAATATTACTTCCCAATTCAGTTATTCTACGTAATATTTTTGAATAAAAAAATCCCTTGACGTGTTTCAACCCAATTTACATTGTATGTGTAATTAAAATAAAAAAATATTGAATAACACATACTTTACAAATCACTCTGTAGTCAAATTATATAATCGAAGGGTTATATATGCATGTGAATATTTGTTACTTCTCCATGTAAAACTAAAAATCTTTATTGAAACTATACAATTACATATCTCATATTTCGGACAATCATGAAGACTTTGTAAATAAAAAAAAATCCGTGTGGTTTCCGGGAGAATGTGATATGGCAATTGTTTTTCGTATGAAGTTACGTGAAACACTATAAATAAGGTTGATTTTTTTTATCGCCAAAGAAAGTTCACTTCTACTATACAAGAAAGGACATAGAATAAAAAGGTGAAGATTTTATTTCGTTTTCTTGGTAATTGAAATAAAAAATATACAAAAGAACAATATTTACAGTTACAGTTGTTCATATAGTGCAAATCATTGATCCCAATTTAATATAAAGAGCCAAGCCAAAAGCCAAGCATAGTATGTATATTCTTATATGTAGAATGTTCATTGTTACAAACTTAATATTTCCTGGTTTCTTTACACTGTAGATTAACTTGCTAAGGTAAAAATTATAAGAAAAGCTAAATTTTGTCGTAAATATTAAAAAAATAAGATTAAAAATTTCATGTCTTAAAAGTATATAAGACAAAATTACCAATTAATTTGAATTATATGTATTAAATTACTTAAGAAAAAATAAATAAGTTTTTGGGTAGAGGCCACGATTAGCGAGAGATTTCCAGGTACATGCAAAATCAATTAAATTTACACTTGTCTTCGCAAATGTACTACAAATAATAAAGCATATTAGTATTATCATAATTGTAGTCAGATACTCAAGATTTCATTTATTTATGAACCTAAATACACCCATCTCCATAAAAAATATTAACATCTTTTATAGTATTGTTAAGATAGTGTAATGAGTCTCTTGACGTCATTAATGCACACTTGACCCATTTCTACCTTCGTCGATATATAAAGATTCCTATCCGATGACAAGAAATTTTGTTATAATGTAAACGTCAATTATGGCAATATTTCTTATTTTCAAGTGCTTTTTATATTTCCTATCTATTATACTACTACAACTATTATTATTTAAGAATGAAAAAACCATTGAAATATGAATATAGCTAAAGGTATTTTATATATCTACATTTTATAGTTAGTTAGTTTATGCTAAAATAACTATTTTTTTTTTTTAATATATTGGAACCCATAACAGGCGATAGCACCAGATAGATGAATAAGAATGAATAGATTTTACAGATTTATAGCCATTTTTAAAATAGTATTACAATTATTTTCCTACCATTACAGTTAAAGATTTTAAGAGTTAAGATTACAAATCAGTCGAATAAGCAACAGACGTTAAGGGGAAGATAAATGAAATAGAATGTTATGGGAAAATGAAAGCAATGTCAAGTATTGGTTATAAAGGCTATCTGTTTCTGGATGTACCTTTTATTGTGTTTGTGTATTCAAAACCATTGTCTACAAACAATTGACGTGTAGATTGTCAGTATGAGTAGAAATTTAGTAAGAAGAATAAAACCAAACACAATGCCACTAAAGATAGCGTTTGTTATAGAAATGATATTGGTAGCATAACAATGATTCGGAGGAACGTATCAGAATTAAATATAAAATTCAAAAAATTATCATCAACATATAATATTGTAAAGTATATTATCATCAATAACATTTGAGTTATGATGTAGTTGTATTATTTAAGTATCATAATTTTCACAATTAGCTTTCTGGCTGGAGATGAAAAACATTTTAATTGGAACTCATATTTCATAACGAACGTGACTTATAAATGAACTGCGTAGACAAAACAAAGTGTATTCACAATAAATATTTAAAACATACAACTTTTTATTTTAAAATTGTAATCAATATGCGAAGCATCATAAATATTTATTTTATCTGCGGTAGTTGCGCCATTTATACGAACATTCGTTACACAATATATCAACTCACTTCAAAGAGATATTCATGGTTTCTGAGTTTTAACAATGGCTGGTAAAAACTTGCCACTGTACATCCGGGTACGCATTTGACCCTGTTTCAGAAGTTTATCGGACATGTCTTAGAATAAACGTTAATGATTGAAAGGGACCGTCTTCTTTATGTTACCTATTTTACGATTTCTTCGAGGGTAAATTTAGTGGTCTTACTTTTACAAAACATTTAAACAAATACTTTACTCAATTCTTTTTGTAAGTTTGGACATGAGAATTTTGATGCAAATTTGTTTACTTAAATTATATCGATGTATTGTTTGAAATGTTTTGTAATTTTAATATGACAATTTTTATTTACTATTTCATATATTATTAAGTAAAAGTTTGAAATTATTTATTGCTAAATGAATGAATAAATTGAACAGAATATTATAATACGTATACAATTGTAACTAGAAGTATAATGTAGTCGAATGAGCTATTTACAACTAATTCCGATTGTTTCGACATTTGTTTGTTTCTTGAAAACATGTAATTTGAAATGTCTGTCATTTACTTCTTCGATACTATTAAGGCAGTAGTAATACTTGAAGGCCTCGTAAATAAATAAAACGTGTTTATTATTTCTTCGTTTAAATATCTTTTATGAAATACATCGCATTTTAGGATTTGAATCAATAAAACTACATTAATAAAATTTAACTTCAACATCATGGCTTTTCTTATCTTACATATTTTATCGCCAGAGAGTTTTACTTATTTATTCCATTTTCATTTTATTCATTCCGGACAAAACTGTACTTGAATAAATAAAAATTGTTACAGAGTACCGCTTAATGGTTAAATTCAATGTTTTTTTTAAGTATTTATTTTTAAATGTAATTCATAAATCTTATATATCATTATGATTTAAAAAATTATCATTAAATATCGACAATATTTTATTTTAAAAGGAGAATTATGTTTTTAATGGATAAGAAATAAATTAAATTTTCCTTAATAAAACAAATAAATTGATTGTTCTTAATTCTGTTTGCTTGCAATTTTTAATCACAAAACATAAATTTATAGGTACTTTACCATTGTTACAATAGTAAATACGATTAAAATCTGGATGTAAAGCAAATTGCAGCTCTTAAGAAATGAACTGAGGTTACTCTCGAAGGCTTTGAATAATTCATTTAATCCATCTAATAGTTTAAGGATTGGTATATGGTTTATTATTGTGTATGTTAAACAATGTTTCATTATGTTTTAAATGTTAAAATATAACTCTTTAAATCTCATAAGAAAGATGAAGATAAAGTAAGAAGAAAAGAAACACAAAATAAATGAAAACAATTGAGAGACTCAATCTCAGTCTTAAAGTTAAATAATGATTCTAAATAATAAAATAGTCCTGCATTGAAAGTCAGTGGTGGCTCAGTGGTTAAAGAGCCCGCCTCTCGTTGCCGAGGGCGCGGGTTCGATCCTGGGCCGGGCAAGTACCAATGTGATTTTTCCGAATCATATGTACTTTCTAAGAGTATTTAGACATCACTGATTAATGTTGATTCCCAAAAGTGGGTTGATGTCAGGCAGGCGGCCGGTCGTAAAAACAAATAGCCGAAAAACTATTCACAACATGTAAGGCAGACCCTGGCTATAGCTGGGAAATTGCTAGGTAGAAGAAGAAGAAAATAGTCCTGCATGGTTATGTATGCTACGTTACGAATACGTGCATGTAGAAAATTGAACAATTTTATAGCTAAGCAATGTCATAGAAATTTAGAAAATCTAATTGGAAAATTAGGACCCACAAAGGAAAGTTGCATGACCACATAAATGTAGGATATTAAAAACGAATTGTGATATTTCAAAATTTTATTATTAATACTACATTTTTATCATGAACAGACCGGTCTTATTTAAAACAGTAATGATGTAATAACTTTTACAATTTAAAATAAAACTAAGGTATGATATTTTTTGTTTCATCTTAAATCATAGCTTATTAAATCTATATTATTTAAAATATTATTTTGCATCATAATATAAATGCAATATCGACTATAATTACTTCTATGACTGATATATTTAATATACATTTCTAATTTGGCACAATCTATATTTACATTTAAGGCTATAATATATAATATTTGGTAATTAATATTACAAAGTAATAATAAATGCGTATGTAACGTTTAACGTTTCAAAAATTTAATAAGAAAACCGATTAACAATAATATAAAATTTTATAATTTTTTATAATGTACAGTTTATAAATAATATTGTTATAAATTAATTAATAATAATAGTATTACATGATCAGACTTATCATAAAATAAAAAAAGATGTTATCAGAAAGAAATATATAAACCTTATCACAAACTTCGTTATTCAGGTAATAATAGCTTTGAGTACAAATATCCTATAAAAAAAGTAGAAAATCCCTAATAAACATCGTGATCGTAGATTATTTGAAGATTCCCGTTACAATAATTCCTAAATGCATTTGTGCACAGTAATTATAAGATACAATTTATATCTACTCACACTGTTTAAACGGTGTTGGTGTATTGTTTGATATAGTATTAATATCTATGTCTGTAGATTGAACATCAATATTCGTTGCAGTGAAATTGTCATATGATATATACTGTGGTGGCTGTTGGACCTCTGTTTTTGGTAACGGCGGTCTTTTCTTTGTTTTCATATACCCTAAAACTGACACTAATACTATAAAAACAATGAGGCCTATACAGCCACCCACAACCAAACTTAGTCTTCTAGTTAATAGTTCTGTGATACCCATGTACGTGTTAGAGAAAGGACTATCTAAAGCCGCACTAAATATTTCTATTGTTGTAACACTTGTGCATTTGCTTGTATGAGTGTTGTTCATATAGGATCGCAAGTTTGTAAAAATTTGCTCATCTCCATATAAATTCACACCAGAGTTTTCTGTGAATGATGGCGTTGTCTTGCCGTAAAGGGTTGAAGTTGCTATATTACCAAAGTCACCTAATGCTAGAACGCAAATGTTGTAGCGAGCTCCCGGTGTCAAATGACTCAGTCTGGTAGTCCGAGCTGTAGCGTTCAAAACTTTACCACGTATCTGGGAACAAACAATGCACTTTCATATATCGTCACGCTTATTTAATATGATATTTGTACAGCTTTAGAAAAGTTTGCCGGTCGTATAAACCATTGTTGATAGAAGATTTAAATGGTTTGCGGTTCTACCGAATAACCTCGGGCGAGAAACATAAATATTTTTTTATGGTCCATTGAAGTGATGCACAGCCTTTGTATTCAAATGTTTGCTGTAATACTGAGTGTTGCTTTTTGTTTTACATAAACTCTGTTTTGAATCATTGAATTATAGCACACACGATATCAAACTAATGGAGTATTAGATTATAAACTATAATTTCAATAAGTGTTTTTATAATAATCAATTTTTAGTGCCTTTATTTTTATAGTATATATTTTTTCTTACAATATTGTTTCTTCTTGTATAATTAAACATGATATTTTAACACACATACAATAATATTTTGAATAACTTATATGTTTATTTATAAGAACACCAAAAACTTAGAACCTCTAAAAATTTTGCGGACTGCTTTGTAATTTTATATTTCATATGTATATATGGATGCGAATAATCTGTATAAATAAAATAGAGATCTGCAGTTGTCCACTTAGCATGACACAGCTACTGAATATATTTGAAACATTTAAGTTTTAAAATTTACATATATCAATGTCTGATTTTATTATCAAGTTATGAAAAAGTTTAAGCAAAAGAGATATTTATAATCCCGGTGTGTTTCCTTGCTGAAACAAAAGGTTTTTAATCTAAAAATCCGGGTAAAGTCTAGGTCACCAGCCAATGTACATACATTGCATAAGAAATACATTCAATGAAAAATTAAAATTACACTCGCCAGGTATTGTTGTAGTGAAAATAAAATATTATTGATTAAAAATTATAACAAACGTAAACTCGGTTATATTTTACTCAGTTTGAAAATTTATTCTGTATGGATTCTAAATTGTTATTTATGTCAGAGATCAAAGTTATAAGTACATAGTTTATTAGACTGGCATATGAATTTGTCTTGCCTGAAATTTTGATATAAATGATACATAAAACACAATGCATTAAGTTAAAAATATAAATACCATATATAATTTTAAAATTCTGTACAACGTTTAAAGTTTTTATATATAAAAAAAATCATTATTTTGTTATCAACATTTTAACATTTTTTTTAAAACAACTAATTATTGAATTCAAAGATTTTATTTCAATACTTACAATGTTTGGCGTCTGTTCTCTATAATAAGCTACTTGGTAACCATTTAACCCACTTTGGTTGCGACTTTGCCAAGAAACTAAAACCGAATAGGTCTGAATATCTTGTATAGCAAGTCTCATTATTATTGGTATGTCACAGAGCTTTTGAGATGTTAGCTCTATAAAGCTTACTCCGTGAAGCTCCTCTGGATATTCACAACGTAAATTTCTGCTTCCTTCTAAAACAATTTTCAGATGATCCTGAGTCCATTTCCAAAGATCTTGTGATTCACAATTACATGTCAAAGGGTTTTCTGTAATATAAAATCAACACGTTATTGGTTTATTAATCTCTATATATATTTCATTTTAATATAAGTTATTATAAAATATAAATCATCTAAATACTGAAATAGTTCTTTCTGAAACTTATTCTTAAAATAGTTTGATTTATTAATTGAGTATCGATTGCAAAATCTATAGACACTTACCATCAAAAGCTATTGTTTTTATTTGTGTTTCCAGATTAGTTAACATTTTCAGTTGTATTATTTCAAAATAATTTCTCCTCAAATCAATATGAGACAATTTTTTTAACTTCATAAATACATCCGATGTTATAGCCGATAGCCAATTATCGTTCAAGTAAAGTTCACTAAGACTGGGGAGATTTCTAAAAACGTCCTTAGTTATTCTTGTAATATGATTGGCTGATAAGTCTAACGTCTGAAGATTCTGTAGATCTGATGTGAACTCTTCTAGTTCTCTTATTGTATTTCGAGAAATATTTATCAGTCTTGCTGAATATAGACCTTGAAGCCTTTCTCTAGGTATATTGTCTAATTTGTTTTGACTGATATCTAACATTTCCAGATTATGAAGTTTCAAAAAAGCTCCTGGCGATAACCGAGTAATAAAGTTTTGGTTTAAAATCAATCTCTTTAGTGACGGAAAATATTCGAAATCCTTACTCGTTATAATAGTTAAATTAGTATTTATAATAATTAGTTCCTCTAGAAGAGGAAATAGTTTAATTGGATATGTTTGCAATAATTGTTCTATAAAATTGGATGAAACATTTAAAATTGTTAATGCTGGAAACACTGATTCAGATAGACCGGTACTAGGAATATGTTTGAAAAAATTACAGGATAAATCTATTTCTTTTAATCCCGTCGAATACTGCAGAAAATTTGGCGGAAGAAAAGTCAACTTATTATTACTCAAATTTAAAGTAACTAGATTTTTAAGCATAGGTGATTTAAAACCATTAAGAATAGAAATCTGATTATTACATAAAATTAAGTTTCTTAAATTCTGCAAGCCGACAAATTTAAAAAAATCTATTGTCTGCAAGTAATTTTGACATAAATTTAAATTTTCTAGAGAAGTTATATTAAATAAAGCCAAATGCGGGAAATCGGAAAAACGATTGCCTTTTAAATTTAGTTCTTGCAAGATAGTTGTGTAAGCAAATATGTCTTTATGCAAATCTTTTAAGTTGTTATAAGCTAAATTGAGTCGTAATAAATTTTGATTCTTGATAAAAGTAGAAGAAGGTAATTGAGATATGTTTGATGATTCTAATGTCAACACTTGCAGTGATAAAAGGTGTGAAAATGTATTGTTCTCTATATGAGTAAAATTATTATTAGACAATACAAGCGACTTAAGTCCCGCTGTTTGTATTTGTAAAATATCCTCCCCTGTCAACATATTCATTTTAAATTCCAAAACATTTAAATTTGGTAAAAGTTTTAATACGGATCCCTCAATCGTTGTAATTGAATTATCACTCATCCGGATTTGTTTGATTGGTAATGTAGATATATTGAAGTTAAAAACTACAATTTCATTTTCCGATAAGTCCAATATTTTTAATTTCTCCAAATGTATTAATGCATTTTTTGCTATTTGGTTGATTTTATTACGTTTAAGATAAAGTTCCTCTACGGTTTCAAGATTATAAAAAGTTTCATTACCAATTTTGCTTATTTTATTATTACTTAGATCTAAGTACTTTATCTTTTTTAAATGCATAAACGTTCTATCTTCAATATACATAATACTATTATTTTTTAAATACAACCTTTGTATATTCACTAAATCTATAAACAAGTTGGATGTTAATAATTTTATATTATTATGGTTTAACCACATAATCTGTACATTAAGCTGTCCTCTCAAGGAGGTGTTTTTCAACAAAGTTAGAACATTGGAACTCAATTGTATAGAAACCAATGACGAATTCCGATTCGGAAAAATATCACCAATTGTAGTCAGATTATTGCTTTGGAGATTAATATGCTGAAGTTTTTTCAGGGTTATAAATGCATGAGAATCAATACTTTCAATTGCATTATTTTGCAGATGCAATTCCAAAAGTTCTGGAAGAGGGTTAAAAATATTTCGTCTGACATGGCCCAGTTCATTATTTTGCAATCTTATTTCCTTCAGTGCAATAAGATTATCAAATATAAGATCATCTAATTCTTTAAGTAAATTATTATCTAAACTTAATATTTCGAGTCTACGATTATATTGAAAAATCTTACTTGGAAGCATTTTTAAAAAATTTGTTCCCATGTGAAGTTGTGTCAGATTGTATAAAGAATCAAAACTTTTTGGACGTACTACCTGTACAGCATTATGTTCTAGATTTAAAACCTTTAATCCCAAAGTGTTGTAAAATGCATCTGCTGGTATTTCCAGAATATTATTTTCGGATAGAAAAATTTCGGACAGAAATTTAAGGTTGGCAAAGAGACCTTTTATATGATGAATATGATTATGACTTAAATCTATCGAACGGATATTAACGGTCCTCTGAAACGTGTTTTTTTCAATATTTACAATTTTATTTCTACTTAAATCTATAATTTCTAAATTCTCTAGTGAATAAAATGCTTCTTCCGCTATATAATTTATTTCGTTACTAAAAAATATTAGTGTTTTTATGTGAGGCATACTGTTAAACCAATTTTTTTCTATTTTGTTAAATAAATTAGAACTTAAATCTAAACTAACCAAATTTGGTACTGTTACATTAATATTGCCAGGAATTAAACTTATTTTATTCCAAGCCAGTCTTACATTAGTAAGATTTTTAAGATTACCTAAAGCTTTTAAAGGAAAAAAAGTAAGGAAGTTTTCAGTAATATCGATTTCGGATAAAGTTTCCTCCAAACTCTGGAATGCATTTTCTGAAATATTTGCTATTTTATTTCCTCTTAAATTTATCTTTTTTAATTTAAGCTTCTTAAAGGTGTTTTCTTCTATGTTCTTAATACTGTTGAGTTGAAAATCGAGCGTTTCAACATTTTTCAGTTTCAACAACGCATCATGTGGAATTTCGCTTAACTTGCTAGCAATAATGCTTAAAGATGTAAGTGATTCATCGATAGTTTGGAAGGTGTTTAGTTCAATTCTATTTATACCCGATTGGGTTATCTGCAAACTATTTATTTTCACATGAGTAGGAAAAAAGTCAGCTTTCAATTCTGTTGTTGATCGTTCCAAATCATATATTGACAAAGAGTGAATTGTTCCTTTAATTTTGGATAGTACATTTCTTACAACACTCGCTGTTGCACTAGGACATTCCAAAAATAATCCTGCAATCAAAACATAGTTTAATCAAATTCATATAATATAAAAATATCATAAGAGTAACTTTCTAACTTCGTCAAGTTATTTAAGCACGTACCCTCTTTAAAATTATAGCACGGGCAAATTGGGTTTTCCGCCAAACTCGGGCATTGTGGTTGTTCTTCTCCGCGCAGTATTGGAATGTGGATAGTAATAAAGAAGGCGTATATACCACATTTCACAATTTGTGAGCGAATAAACATACTCATGTTCATAACACATTATTTTAGAACCATTTCCCACACGGAGCTTTTAATTTTTCTATCCATTGAATCTAAAACATTACAAAAAACTATACATATAAATATTTTAATTATTTCTTAATTTATAAGTATCGATTTCGAGACGTTTTTTAAATAAATTGATTAAATTAATTCAAAATGTGAACCCCGCGCCGTTATTACTAATATTTGAGAAAAGGATATTGAATTACTTTTTACCATTAACAAATAATTTCTATTCGCATCTTTTTTATTTTCACAATTACAAAAGCTTCGTTTTCTAAGATTTCTTCCAATTGATTTTAATTTTTAGGCTCGACTCTCGACATTTACAATTGATTCTCTCAGATTCTCCTTAAAAGCGTTAAACAAAGGGTTTCTAAAACCTCTATAATTACACAAAGGAAACGCGGCGTTGCTTTCTAATTTAAGTGTACCGCTAGGAAGGGGCTTAATTAATCGTTGTTTCTGGGTGGATATGCACAGTTACTCTTCTTATTAATGTTCCGGGTTACATATTTAATTTAATCAATTAATTATTAATGAAAACAAGTTTCTTTTATAGTTTCTATAAACTCCTTGTCATTGATTATATATATATAATATGTGCGGGCAACAATACAACGCTGTAATATTAATTATATCGGTAACATCACCCTTCCTATTAACAAGGGGTATTAAGAAAAGCTATTACAATGCTAAAAAAAATATCTTAAGAAAAATAATAAATTAAAAAAACATCTAGGTACTCTTTTATTTATTTTGTATATAACCAGTATATATTTAATTATTAATAATTTAATTATTACTTCCAGATTCGTTATATCAGTTGTATGATGAAAAATAGCCTTTAAACTAACTAACGAAATGAAAGCAAAGTGGCTAGTGATAACTTCATGAAAATCTTCTGTGAAGCGGTGTCACTACACCGGTCAAGCCAGCTATATACGAGATGAAATTTGCTTTTCATTGGTTTACTGCAGATATATTTTACCATCAAGCGCTTAAGTGCATTTTATTATCTAATGAACGATGAATTAACACAAGTACATAGGCTTATTAATATAAGATAGTACTTTGACTTTAGATTACTTATAATTTTAAATATTAAATTTAAACTAAAAACGTATAATTAAGTATATAAAGTATACTTGACTCTCAATAAATTTGTTTATTTCAGCCATTCCACGTAAAAAATATTCGCAAATAATAATTATGAAACAAATAATTTATAACAGAACTTCTCAGAAATAGATTATTTTTATGTTAATTTAATGAAATTAATTATTTATTTAAACACATAAAATAATATTTCTAGTAAATATGACATAATTACTTCTATTGTCATTGTCAAAAATCAAGTAAAGCGCCTGACCATAAGTTTCCGTCGCACATATATTTACTAGAATTTCTACAGTGATGGGATTTAACAGTTCAAAAGAGGTAGGGATAGAAGGTTCATATACCCATACAACAAAACTCAACTGTAACAGCTAGTTTTGCACAAAGCTTGCGTGGGAAAAAGATTACCAACAGGCTAGCTATCTTCACTTCCCGTTTATAGGTATATAAATTAGAATCTCATTTTTGTATATTCATATTCAGTTTGGGTTTAAGTTTTTTGAATATATTTACATTATCTGTGTTTCAAAATTCATAAACGCCATATTTATTAAACATATCATATAAATTAAATAATACTCTTGACATACTCGTTTATCATAAATTTATACATTTAAGCTAAAAATATCTTTATTTGCAAATATGTACTACCTTATTTCATTTAAAATTACGGCAGTTAAAGAGACAATCAATGAACAAAAATCTAAAACTTTTTATCTATTACGCTCAATATAAGTTGATTAATAATATAAATTTAATATCAGAATATTTTTTAACATTTCTTATAAGCACGATATTTATATATAAAAGTTCAAACTGATTATGATATATTGCTTCATTTTTTTAATTTAAACTTTTATAAACCTGAAAAAAAAAATATTTATATACCGCCTTTACTGGGAATAAAAATAATTATTTTGGAAATGAAAATAATTATTTTTATGATTTGAATCAGAAATGCAATATACCAGGATGAAGAAAGCATTTTTTTGTTATAATGAAATAATAATTTTTCGGGGAAGTAAAACAACAAATATTCACCGTGACCATAGTTTTCTACACCTGCTCTTCATCTTTCTGGGGATTTGTGAATATCAGGCCAATAAATATGTTGCTCTTTTGAATCAAACCAATTAGACTCCTAATTTCCCGCAATGCAAATGAGTGGTCACTTGATGAAAACGAAATGTTGTCGGAGGAGTGCAAGTCTGATAGACACGGCGGGTGAGGTGGACTTGTCCAGATCAGTGCTCTAATAGTATCCTAAACCGGTATGCTTTATTAGCCGATTTGGTGTTACAATATTATTCTGTAATATCTCTGTTTTTGTCCTTTTTACAACAATGATATCTTAAAATAATTATTTGTTTGTATTCTTGACATAAATTTATGAATATTTCAAAAAAAGTAATACTTAGATATAAAGCTGAGTTCCTTTCGGTTTTTTAAAGCAACATTTTCAAAAGTTGTTTTCTTCAAATTAATTATGCCCCCATTTCCCATAATTTTGATGTCCTATTTAAATTTGTAAATAGTAATTATTTGCTATGCAACACTAAACATTTCTGCTATTTCCTTTTAAGTCCTAATATCCAAATCCTAGTATCATTCTTACTCATATTGCTTGTGATTTTTTTGATATTTTTAAACTTTTTTATTGATCCTCAAAGTTTTTCATTTCATACACAAAAATTAATTTTCTCTGAAGTGTTGAACGAACTGAAGTAAGTTGCTTCTAAAGAAGCACGATTACCATATGTTTTCACATAGTAAAAATACGATTTCAAAAAATATTACTTTCGAGTATAATTTTTGCCATATATGCATTTATTTGAAAGACAGATTAAAATTTCAACGAAACAAAAAATTAAGCATGTCCATAACAAAATTTTCTACTGACATTTTTACATCAAAATGTTTAACTCATAAATGTATCCCTATATATTCGGCATATGAAATTCTCTGACTGACACTATATTTTAAACAACCCTCCTTTTTAAAAATATTTTTTATTTTATTTTATTTCATCAGAATAATGTCATGACAATACTTGACGTTGTGTAAAATGCAGCAAACTTTAAAAAAAATAAAATATATTTTTATTTGAATTATTTCTAATATAAGAATATTCGTTGATATGTCAAATGATCACGAAATTTAATTTTCATGTAATTTAATACATTTCTTAACATATTTCAATAATATTAAGATCGAAATAATAATTTTCTTTATTCATATTTACTTTTATTTTATGAAATATAAATCGGATATGTTTTAATAAAATAGTTCTTAGCATTTAAATTAAATACATATATACTAAATAAAAAAACTTTGAAAGGCAAGGCTAATTATGTTAAATATTATATATATGTAACACATATATAGTAGTCGATGAGGGAGGGCTATGTCCAGCAGTGGACCTCACATAGCTGAAGTGATGATGATGATACATATATATATAATATTTAACATAATTATTAAAGAAATAATTTAATTTATTAATAATGATGAATAAATGTTTTGTGACGAACTCTACGTACAATCTTATAAAATATGTTTAAATTATGAATATCTAGTTTGATAAGAAAACGGTTAAAATATAACATTTCATGTGTAAATATCTAAACACTTTATTTAAGCCATTACAGGATTCCCAGATAAGACTAGATGGATTAGGAAATTTACAACATTATGATTTTTTAACCACACTGAATGTGTAACATACCACAGATTTTGTTATTTATAGAAGTTTAAGTACATATTATCAAAAAATAAGCCTGATTTTGCAGCCTACTCCATACGACTACGACATCTAAGACTGTTAATCTGCTATTGGAGAACGTTCATTTTACAAGGTAAATTTACGGCGTATAAAAATGACACAAATGAATAAAAACTCACTCATAAAATTAACATTTACTCCGACATCTTTGTAAAAAATAATAAGCGATCTTAACCCGGTTTATAAAAGGAATGTTTATGAAAAGTAATTACTATGAATAGCGGTATGAAACATGCAAAACTAATTTTAATTAAACAATAACTTAAACGCAAACTACTACATCCTATTTGAGGGCGTTCTTAATATTTACTTTATGCTAAATGAACACGAATAACCCATTTAAAATGGTTTCTAGGTCAACGAAGGCTCAGTAGCAAGAATGACACGTCTTTGAGTATTTGTTGTATACTCCAGAGTTGCTAAGACAAAGCTTTGTTTACCACGAAACGTCGTCGCCGATCAACTGAGACAAGTCGAGGTTTCTTAAGCTTTGGGCTATAAATTGTCACACTTGGAGTTTTTCAGCTTTTTATTTACACGAAAAACTTATAAATATGGGAAGTCTTAATACTTTTTATATGGGACGGCTTTAAAATTAGAGAATAAATTAGGTTTACATACATAACGTTCTAAAAAATTAAGCAATATTTTAATGTATAACTTTATGTATATTTTTATATTGATAATATAACCATGTGTTTTATTATCTAATAATATAACACTTCCAATAATATTTTCAGTAAATTAATATGAATTAACTTCATAATTCAGAGCATATCAAAAAATATCAAAAAAAATCTCGGTAGTCAAATCTTCCTCAAGAAACGTCTTATCTTAATGCTATTCCTCTGATAGTACTCAGACCCATGAAAAGATGATTACATTGACAAATGGCCCGTCCCTTGAGTCCTGAGGCATATTAAATATCTGCCCATAATCTACGGGCAAATGTAGACCAATTAAATGTCTACTACATACAGATATTATTAAGTATACTGTATTTCAATGATAAGTACTAGTATATTATCCAGCATAGGAATAATTAATTGACTATCCACATGGGAGGGTTTTTGTTCTATTTTAT